ACCATGCGGGACGTCGGGACTACCAAAACCTTGCGATGTGCGCGAGCAACAAAAGAATGGAGAACCTGCTGACCAAAAAACGTCGCACCGTTCGGCTTCGATTTTGACGCAGGAACACGAAAATTAATCGACCAATGAAGGGACTTTATTTTCGAGAAAGAAAAAAATGTTGTTACTGCTGCCAGAGTTGGCAACCACTAATGTCTAGAACGGCAAACGAAAGACGATCATGAAAGCTAAAAAAACAGGTAGAATGTGCTTCCTTACCATAACCCATGAATGCGCTCGTGAGGTGAGCACTTACCGGGACAAGAACGGGATCAACTATTCCAGGAAGGCGATTGATGTGGCCTTTCACTTGATATTAACGGTTGTGGAACCCAAAGCAACTTTACCTCACCTCCAAGAAACAATTCAGAAATACCCTAACGAGTTTGATAGCAAGGCTGTGATTGCTGTGTCGGTAGATAGTGATACAAGTAGAAGTGGTAAAAGTGATGCTGAAGATGTGGAGACTGAATAACTGGTGTGGTTGTAGACAATAATTAGTCTAAGTGACACTAATTTTATCACACATAAATTAGTGTCGGTTCAAAATAGCGACACTCACACTAATTTATGTAAGGAAAATGATAACTACCTTACATGAATTAGTATCGGTGACACTAATTGCGGTGAGTACTGTAGTAGTATTGCAGGCAAACGTTGATTCGCTCTTTGTATGCTTCTAAGAGCAAATAGACAATTAGAAAATTGTATCCAGTAATTTTTTTCCCGATTTTTACAAATTGGGTCGCATCTTGCAGTAACATATTGAGTGGATTCCTTCGTGAATGACAACATTTTTTCTGAAATTTATTTCAGAGTCTAGCGGGGATTCGATTTTTCTCGAATACTTCAAGAATGAGCCTATAGTGGCACCCTCTTTATATCAATGCGGTTGCTGCACTACAGTAAATTATACTCTTAAAATTGATACCCTTGTAGATATTTGAAAAACACGTAAATTACATCGTAAGATTGTCCGAAAATATTATTCCTTAGAGAGATTTCTGCTCCTTCATTATAAACTCCTGAAATTGTCAAATACATTTCCGGAGGTTTTAGTGTGTGGGAATGGGACAGTGCCCATACATATAGAAACAAGGTGT